CACATGGTTCAAGTGGCAGAGCAGCCAGCAGCCTAGACCTATTGAAGAGCCTTCTCCTGTTCTAGGCCACGTACAAAGCTAGCAGCTTTCTGAGTCACTCTGTATATGGGCCAGAGTACCAGAGTAACACACCCAAGGGAGGAATGTGTTGTCTCCAGAATCCAAATAGGCCACTAAAAGTTGTGTTTCTTGGTGGTGGGAGGGGCAGGTACAATAACTTATCCTTCACCTTGGAAGGAATGTGTCATGCCCCATACCACTGAACTCCTAAGAATTTTTCTTTTCAAGCCAAGGTTTCTCAGCACATCAGTTCTATCTGTCCTGGAACACACTCTGTAGACCAGGCTGGCCTTGAACTCACAGAGATCCTCCTGCCTCTGCTTCCTAAGTGCTGGGATTAAAGGCATATGCCACCACTCCCCAGCAAATTCCTAAGAATTTGACTCAGGTAGAAGGCCCCTGAATTTTAGCTGGATTTATTTCCCATCCTCTGATGCACACATGTGTTACCAATGAGTTCAAAGTGGTTGCTACTTCCTCTTCCTTGGTCTAGTTAGAATAATGTTGACATTATAGTGTACCAGTGTGATATTTTGTGGAAGAGACAGATGACAAAGATCCCTTCTAACTAAGTAATGACACAGGGCCAGAGAGTTAAAATACCTTGGAGGAGGTAAAACTGTAAAGGTATTGTCTTAGTTGGGGTTTCTATTGCTGTAAAGAGACACCATTATAAATGAAACATTTAATTGGGGCTGGCTTACAGTTTCAGAGGTTCAGTCCATTATCTTCATGGTGGGCCATGGCGGCATGCAGGCAGACATGGTGCTGGAGAAGGAGCCGAGAGTCCTACATCTTGTAGGATAAAGGAAGTAAACCATCACACTGGGTGGTGTCTTGAGGCTAGAAGACCTCAAAGCCCACCCCCTCCCCAGTGACACAAGTCCTTCAGCAAGGTCACACTTACCTCAACAAAGCCACACTTCCTAATTATATTACTCCCTCTTGGGGCCATTTCCTTTCATATCACCATAGGTATAGTGCTGGCCTTGCCAACTGTCCTTATGGACAGTTACCCAGAAAAAGGCATTTGCTAAATCAATACTGCATACCATGTACCAGGAGATGTGCTACTTTGCTCAAGTAAGGACACCACAGCAGTTGCTGTACCTGGTTGAGTTTTGATCATCGACTGTCATTCTCCACGATCCAGCTGTCTTCTGCACTGGCCAGAAAGAGGAGTAAGATGAAAGTACTGTGGGAACCACCATCCCCGCATCTTCCAAGTCCTTGATGGCAGCACTAATTTCTGCAGTTCCCCCAGGGACATGATACTGTTTTTGATTCACTATTTTCTTTGGTAGAGGCAACTCTAAAGGCTTCCATTTAGCCTTTCCAGCCACAATAGCCCTCACTTCACAGGTCAGAGAACCAATGTGAGAATTCTGCCAACTTCTAAATGTATCTATCGCAATTATAGACTCTGGAACTGGGGAAATGACCACAAGTCGCGTTCAGGGACCTACTGGACCTACTGTGAGTGGCACATCAGCCAAAACTCCATTAATCACTTGGCTTTCACAAGTGCCCGCTTTAACTGAGGGCCACAATGTTCCTTGGGATCTTGAGGAATCAGTGTCAATTCAGAATCAGTATCCACTAGATCTCAGAGAGTCTCATTGTTTCCTTTCCCACAGTGTACAAGCCACCTCCTGAAAGGCTGTAGGGAAAGACTGGAGAAGGCTAATAGTAAAACTTGGAGGTATCTTATCAAGTCCTACCTCAGGAGAACCTGGCTGTCCTTTCATTCACTGGGTTCCGGGTCTGCAAACTGGCTAAAGTCTGGGAATTGACTCACAGGCTGAGATTCCCTTTTGCCATGATCCAATGTAGTCTTTCTTTCATTTGGTTGAGAATTTTCCCATTACTACGGATCAAACAAAAGCACAGTAGACTTCTTATCTATTTCATGTCTGGAAACACCATAATTGATTAGCCAGAACCAAATGTCCACACAAGTCATGCCACCATAAAATTCACTTTGCCTGGGCTGCCCATTATGGGTGAGGCCATTACAAACACTTTGTCTATGCTGCCCACTACAATAACTATAACTACCTTGCCTTTGACTACTCAGTGTTGCTACTGGGGCCCTGTTACCTCAAGGCCAAACTAAACCCACTGCATTTAATTCATCCAATTAAACAGCAGGAACTCCAACCCTCAGGTCTGGCACAAGGAAAATGGTGACAACAAGACTCTTCAAGTGAGCTGGTGACCCTCTCACCATTTTGTGTTTTATAGGATTAGTGATAAGGCATGAGTTCTAGGCCTTCCCATTGTGGTTACACAGAGTATCAGAGCTGGTGTAAAGGGAGCTGGGTGTGGTGGCCCGCACTTGCAATCCCAGTTTCTGAGGCTTAAAAATCTCTTAATCAACACTAAACCAAGAAATATCAAGCATCTTCAAATCAAATCTTTGTGCCTATGAGTCAGGTAAACATATTGAGCTATCTCAGGCCATAATTCAGTTTCTTTAGAAAAGTATTTTATGAGGGCTGGAGAGACAGCTCAGACCCAGAGGACCCAGGTTCAATTCCCAGTACCCACATAGCAACTCACAACTGTCTATGGCTCCAGTTCCAGGGGAATCTGACACCCTCACACAGACAATACATACAGGCAAAACACAATAAATAAATAAATTAATGAAAGTAAGTTAAACAGAGGGTTGTAATTGAGCCCTGTGCGGTGTGGTGTTTTGTGTGGGGAGGCTGAGGTGAGGAATGACTTGTGTTTTCTATTCGTTTATGTCAAGACTAGTTGTATAACCCTAGGCTGGCCTTGAACACACTATCTTCCTGCCTCTGCCTCCCAAGTACTAGGGATACAGGAGTGTGCTACCATGCTCAGTTGAATGGAGAGTATGTAAAGGGAAAATAGAGGTTATATATGTTTTGAAAAATGGAACAGCAATTAACCTTGGCTAGAATAATCAATAAAGCTGGTGCCAGTCTAAGGTTGGATCCAGGGCATTGCAGAAATCTTTATGTAAGGGATCCCAGCATATACTGAAGACTAGCTGATCCATGCAACCATTGGATTTTTGGGCCTTTTGTTCACAGCCAGCCATTGTTGGATTAGCTAGACTGGGGGAATTAAACTCAGTCTGTCAGGTAGCAAAATGTTTAGTATAAAACATTTTTTGTTTTTAAACGCACTGTCTTAGTCAGATTCTATTTCTGTGAAGAGATACCAGGACCACAGCAACTCTTACAAACGAAAACATTTAATTGGGGCTGGCTTACAGTTCAGAGGTTTTGTCCATTATTGTCATGGCAGGAAGCATGGTGCTGAAGAAAGAGCCAAGAGTTCTATATCTGGATTGGCAGGTAGCAGGAAGAGAGAGAGAGACACTGGCTTGAGCATCCCAACTTCAAAGCCTGCCCACCTGCCCACAAGGTGACATCTCCAATAGTGCTTTTCCCTATGAGCCTTCGGGGCCGTTTTCATTCGAACCACCACAGTTCCCAGGTTAGTTCATCTTTCTTTCTTTTTTTAAAATGTGCCTGAGTGCTTTGCCTACATGTACTTGTGCACCATATGTGTGTCCACATAAGAGGGTGTTTGATGCCCTGGGACTGGAATTGCAGGTGGTTGTTGTAAGCCACCACTTGAGTGTTGGGAACCAGATCCCAGGTCCTTGGGCAAGATCAGCCAAGCTCCAGCTCCAGATTTGGAATTACAATTTTTTTTTCTAGGAAAGATCAGAGATCTTCAAGTTTTTCCTTTTCCTTTTTGTTTGGCATTTTAAAAATGAAAGCTCTGGGCCAGATGTGATGGCTCACATCTGTAATGCCAGAAATTTGGCGGAGAAACAAACATTTGGAGGTGGAGACTAGCCTGGAATACATATAAAGACCCTGTCTCAAAACACCAAAAACAAAACAAAGCAACAAACAAACAAAACAAAAAACCCCAAAACAACAACAACAAAACCCCCAATAAATTAACAAAGTGGGAAAAATATTCTCTATTCCCAGCAGCCCCGGTTTCTGTAGGACGGGGAGCATTTCTCGTGGAGGGGTGTGGGCCAGCTGTTCTGTGTCTCGCCCTACTCTTGTCAGAACCATTTGCCAGACAAGCTGCTCTCCCCTGATTTGGGGCTTTGAACACACCCGTTTCTACTTGAATGGCTTTCTTGTCCCTCTAACTCTGAAAACCTTGTCTCTTTGATAGAACTAATGACAGGTCTGTCATCTTGGGGGAGCTTGGCAATTTGTTGCAGGAGTCAAAACACATTGTTAAGAATTTATTAGTTAGCTTCCCTCCCTGAGGGCTGCACAGACATCTGACACATGCATGCCTAGGGGCTGCTTCCCAAGCTTGTCAACCTTGCTCTCATCTCCTGCTCTGGTCCCCGACAAAATGTACCACAGAGCTCTCTAGCTAATAACTCAGTGATGCTCACTGAGTGCCAAATGTGCCTCATGTGCACCATCTTATTACATCCTCGGAAGGAGGCGGTGTCTTCATTATACAGATGAGTAAAAGGAAGCTCATGGAGTGGCTACAGTTGGTACAGCTAGGGATTGGGCCCTGGCTGGGTTTCCCTAGATCTGACTCCCAGAGCCTGAGATTTGCTGTCCAAAACCCACCGCTCTCCACAGCTGCGCAACAAGTGCACCTCGTGGCTTTCTTTCACCATTGTTCCGCGAGTGCCTGGCACAGGCTGGGCAACAGCCCTGGGTGGGAGCCTGAAGCGAGAGGTGCCTTCCACATTGCCTGCCCAGTTCTTGGCCCACGGGGATCCATCTGAGCCTGAGCAGTGGAAGAACCCCACGCGGACCCACGCGCGCCCTGGGTCTGCCCCCGATCACGTGAGGGCCCCACCCGTCCCGCCCACTCTCCCACCGACCCCGCCCCTCCCCGCCCCGCCAGCCCCGCCCTCAGATCAGGCCCCGCCCACTCCCCTTCCCGCCCCGCCCCCACTCCGTTCTTGGCCGCGCTCGGGTCCACAGCTCTATGGGGAAAGCGGCCGCTCCGAGCCGAGGCAGCGGCTGCGCTGGCCGCTCCCGCGGGCTCTCATCGCTGTTCACGGTTGTCCCCTGCCTGTCCTGCCACACGGCGGCGCCGGGCATGAACTCGTCCACGTCAGGCTCAGGGCCGGAGCCCAAGCCTCAGCTCCAGCCTGTGCAGGCACCAGAGCGGGAGTTGCTAGCCGAACAGGTGTGCAAGCCAGTTTTTGAGCCGGTGCCGAGATCCGAACCTGGGTCCCAGACGACGTCTGTGCCTAGGCCCTCAGGGGCTGGGCAGGAATCTGAGCTACAGGGCTTGTGGCAGGGGTCAGAGGCGGGCCCAAGAGTAGGGGTTGGGCCCTTCACCAAAATCACATCGGAGCAGCTGTCTCTGGGGTCAACAGGAGGGATCGTGCCCCTGGCAAAACCGGAGTACAGGTCGGGGCCAAAGCCTCAGCCCCTTCAGCGACCAGGACAAGCGAAGACTTCTGTGGGGACTCCAGTGCCAGGGACTGGAGCCCCGATGGTCTCACCACCTCTGGACAGCTACAAGGGCTGGCTCCTCAAGTGGACTAACTACCTGAAGGGCTATCAGCGCCGCTGGTTCGTGCTGGGCAATGGCCTGCTGTCCTACTACAGGTACAGAAGTGCCGGGGACTGGGAAATCTGAGGTTGGAGGGTGGCGGTGGCGGGTCTCGATTGTGGTGTATCACAATTCTTCTGAGATATTTGGAATCATGAACTCCTGTAGAAGTAACGCCTGGTGACTGCCAAGGGTAGATGTGTCCTGTGGAACTGGCCTCTGGCAAGCCTGGCTTTAAAGAGTGAATGTGGAGATGTGAACTAGGTCCTCAGTTCCCTTCTTGCTGTGGTGCCTAGGAGGACAGCCTTAGCCAGCCCTGTGAAGTCTTACTGTTTCTGGTTCATTGCCTTAGGAATGGAGGGAGACAGTTACTGAACCCCATACTCTTGGGAAGGGTTGTTCCCTCCTCAGGCAGTTTTCAGTTTGTTGTCTACCTTTGCTGACACCTGCTTGTCTTCAGGGCTTGGACTGGGACAAGCAGACCCACAGGTATATCAGATACAGCGTGTGCCCTTTGGGAACCCAAGCTGGCGTCCTGTGCAGGTGGACAATTTTACTGTCACCTTCCTCATTCCAGAAGCAGCCTGGGTTTCAGAGTTGCAGTCAGCGGAGACGTAGCTACCACTACCTCCCACCAATGCTGGTTGGAAGCCGACCCTCCCCACGGCTTCCTTCCCTTTCACACTAGCTGTTTCCTGGGAGTTTAAGCTTTGAGATCTCAGGTCACTCTAGACCACTCTGAACTTAATGGGGTTGCTGCAGCAATGTCACTGAATCCCTCCTGCAGTGGGCCCGAGGAAAGGGATGGCTTCTCCAAAAGCTCCCGAGTAAGGACTGTGATGCTGGCCCAGGGTCACACTCTGAGGAGCCTTTCTTCACTGTTGTGGACAGAGTTGCCGCCATGCTGTTTGTTGGAGCTTGAGTCACCCTGAGTCACTTTGCGCTGCCAATACTTCAGGTGCCTGCCGCACGGGTTTAGACTGTTCTTCCCAGCCCTTTGGAGACAAAGTGCCTAGATAAGAGACAGCTAAGTATGCTATGGCTGAGAATTTTGGCATCACTGGTTGGAGGAAAAAGCCAACCAAGATGTGTCTGAATGTGTCCTTCTCATAGTGTCTTGGTATCCTTTGACCCTCCTCGGCAGTGACCTAGAACACACTGTCCTTAGAGTTAGCATACCAACCAATAGGATCTCCTTTCCAGATGCTATTTTTAATCTATCGTAACGTACACTTCAGCTATGCAACCCAGACCAATGGCAGGGCCTTCAGTGAATTGCTGAATTACTTTTCGTTCGGCACAAGAGCCTTAATGCCAGTTGCAGACCACACACTACAATTTATGGTGCATTCATTAATTTCTTCTCTCTAGCCATGGTGGGGGGTAGATTTTTAACAGCATCACATTGCACAGGTGCACATTCTGAGGCCCCAGAGAAGGACGTAGCTTTGTCATCTGGTCACCTGCCCGGAGATTCTTCCTCAGGCTGCTTGGACTCAGAGCTCTTCAGTGATCTCACCCCTGAAAACCCACTGGTCTGGAAGCTTACACACTAAGAAATGTTAGTTTTTAGAAAACTGTCCTGAAATGTGAAGTTGAACACACAAGACTCAAGTGCTTGTTCCACGATTGTGTCAATGCCCAGCCACCCTGGATTCCAGCCGGCACTATTGTCTGTGTTTGGCAGGTGTGCTAAACTGTAAAGGTCAAGGTAGGCTGTCTGACCTCGCCTCATGCTCGTTTGTTTTGTCTGCAAGCAAAGAGGGAAGGTTTCTCATTCTTGCTTCTTGCCATGACTTTGTATAGTCCCCTTGGCATTCGAAGGTAATCTTAGGATTCGATTCTCTGAGCCATGCAAAATGGCCATAATGGATGTTTGTTTGAAATCAGGAAATGTACCCTGGGCATCACAAATCATGTTAGCAGTGAGGGCTGTGGTGTTTAACTTTACCGTTCTGGTTCATACAGACAAGCTTGCCCATCTAGTGTCTAAATAAAGTTAGACTTGGCTAAAGAACAGATTCTAAAGAATTAGTTACCTGCTGTTCATTTATCTATTTGGTGAGGGGGAATGTATGCCTGCTCTGACACCTGTGTGGAGGTCAGAGGTGACTGTCGGGAGACAGTCCTTTCCATCCATCATATGGGTTCAGGGGACTGGCCTCAGACACCAGGCTTGGCAGTGGGTACTTTCACCAACTGAGCCATCTTGTCTGTCCTGTTTTAGCGACTTTTAAAAAATTACATACTTAATTTGATTTTATGTATGAGTGTTTTACTTGTATATTTGTCTATTCACCACATTCTTGCCTGGTACCCTTGGAGGTCAGAAGAGGGCATTGGAGCCCCTGGAACTGGAGTGATGGGTGGTTATGAATCACCATATGGGTGCTTGGAATTGAAACCCTGTCCTCTGCAAGAGCTGCTGGTACAGCCACTGCTCTTAACACTGCAATTAAATCCTCATTTAAAGGGGGAGGGGAAGCATCCCAAAAAATCAAGGTAAAATCAATTTCCCTCTAAAAATGTAAAATAAAAATACTCCTATTCCTGCAGTTAACCCTGATGGCTACCTTTCTTCTTAGTACTTTACACCTAAATCATGATGCAAAAACAAACACAAACAGAGCTTTCAAACACTTCACAGCAATCCAGATGATGAGCTAGCCTTTGCTCATGCTTCTAGTAGTGAATCAGGGCAAGACGGATTTACTAATGTGCATTTCATCACCAAAGAACCGAAGATGCCTCGTCTTTTATTTTGAACTGTTTCTAAGACAGTGTTTACTAATTGCAAACAAAGAGAAAGGCAGTCTTGGCAGGACAGACTGCAGGACGCTTGGTCAGATTGACTTACTCGTTACTCATAGTGTGGATCCTGGTCCGTGCTCCTGCTTCTACGGTTTGAGTTTTGTCTGTCTTCCACAGCTCTTCTCCATCACCTGCTGACTAATCAATCATCTGTTTTAGGAGCATTTAACAAAGGGACCAATAGCAGAATCGTGTAGATCTTCAGGGCTCGGATTGCTTACCTTTCAAAACCTCTAAATGTATTCTTTCCAACTTAACTAAATTAGTATGCTAATTTGTGGCCACAAAATATACTTCAGGTACCTCTATTGGGTATTCTGGAAGGAAGAGCTCAACTTCAAAAGCCTCCTCCCCAAAGAGGGAATCCTGGAGGCCAGCAATGACCACATGAAAATAAGGTGCTGCTCTCACTGGGCTTGGCTTTAATGCCAGCAAATGTTGGCTTCCCCCATGGGTCTATGAGGCAGCCTGGCCTTCCTGCCAGTCTGTTTTTTGCCTCACAGTGCCTCGGCCAACAGATGGGTGCAGTGACATCAGTGACATTCCTGCAATCAGGGTCACAGGATGCTGCTTGTAAACACTGTCACATGTAAGCAGCATTTCTGGGAGGTATGGGTCACTGGCCACAGTCCTTTTTTAACAATGTGGTAAGACACAGTAAGATGGGGAGGAGGTAGTCTCTATTGCTGGGCACCCTTAACTATGTGTCTGTTCAGATGCCACCGGGGATTCAGTTTCATATCGTGTTTGTGCTCTTAGTTACCATTTTAAGCATTTCATTCCTAGTTCTCATCTCACAGGGAACATTTAATTACACGAAATTAGGGAAGAATTCATAACGACACAGAATTTTCAAAGGTATTTATCCCAATAAGTCATCATAGAGAAATAAAATTCCCAATGCAACCTTTCTCACATCAAGGAAATTGATGAGGTGAGGCAGAATTCTGTGTTGTCTACTAATGGCTTGTTTGGTCCCACAAATGACATTTGTCTCTCAGGGGATGATTTCAGACAGAAGCACTTTAAAAATGTTTTTATTGCCCATTCTCATCTATGCTCAGTAATGGGTAAATCAGTTATCAAGGAAGACCTTAGTCTAGATCTTGGAGAAAAAAGGCAGTGGCCAAGCCAGAGCAAAACTTAAAATCCTCGGATGAAGACCACTGCACATTGGAGGAGCTGGGCCCATTCAGAGTGGGGGCCAGGTAACAAAAGTGGCTCACTGGGTGTCTTGGCCCCCAGATAGGTTTTATCCCTCCTGTGAGCTCAGCTCCAAGCCAACTCTGGGTGTCACTTCATCAATACTTAATCGATGGAAGGTGGGGAAGCAAAAGCCCATCCACAGCAAAATGCCTCCAAAACGTGAAGGGGGGCCTGCACGCACGTCTGGGGGCGAGGTGTCGAGGCCCCTCCAGGAGGTATGCCGACCATGTTAGATTGGCCTTGAGTTTGAAATGCTCAGCATTTTATGTGTTAAGAGGCTGAAAGGGAAAACACAGACATGTGTGTGTGGTAATGACAATGAGGACTGTTGCAAAGACTGATAAATGGACCAGGAGGGTTTTGGAGGTTTGCTGGGCATGCCAATGTATTTAATCAGTTCTGGTGACGTGGACTGTAGCTTTCCCCATGAAACCTCCTTTGAACTTTCCTCTTTCCATGAATAGCTGAAAACCTGAGTCATGCCTGTTGCCTCCTCCCTCTTCATTCTATGCCAGATGGAGTTTCCAAGCCTATGTGTCTCTCCCATAGTCCCTGATGCCGCATCGTGGCTTTAGTCTGCTTTCTGCCCAGCTAGTGCCCTGGCTCCCAGACACTGTTCTGGTCGGTTCCCCCGACCCAGTGGCCCTGGGGTTGTAGAAGGAAGCACAGCCCTGCATTGAACCTCTCTGAAATGCCTGTGATGGCTTCGGGCAACACCAAGGAATGAGTCTTCCTCTTTAAGAACTCACAGGGTGTGTCTGGGCATCTCAAGACAACTGTGGCAGGAGGATGCGGTGGGCAAGCTCAGCATCTTCTTTCTGGGGTGGTGCTTGGCCACCATGACTGTACTGTAGCTTGGTTAGTCTATGAGTGGCTGAGGGAATAAATGGATGAAGGAGAGTTGCCTGCGAATTGATGGGTTTAAAAAAAGCAAGTGAGTTTCTTAAATTGTTTTCTATGTAAAACCTGGTTTATTGAAATAAGGTTGAGCAGATACAGTGGAGAATGCAAGCTTAAGCCAAGAGTGTTGGAAAAAATG